GGGTAGCACCACGTACGCGTATGCAGTGCATACGCGTACGTATGCGCGCGTACGCGTACGTATGCGCGCGTACGCGTACGTGCCCAAAAACCAGCATACGCGTACGCTTTTTTTTTTTTTTTTTTTTTACACATATATATAATGTATATATCCTAACCCTTAAGGAGCATTGGCTGCGGGGAAGGCCGGTGGTCTGCTGCGCGCCGGAATCGGGTTCAACTTTTGATGCGGGCCGGGGGATGAAGGCGATCGAGGGAGCGGCTGTGTGAAGAGCGGTGCGCGTACCGAATTGTTCACAGCGCGCCAAAGAACGAAAGAGCGCACCCACAAGGCCGTGCGGCGGTGTAGCAGACCTCTGGTTGGCTTGTGAGACCAGCCCCTTGGCCTGTTCTCACAGGCCTGTGTTCTATTCGGGGGCAGTCCAGTCTAGTCTAGGCCGGTACCTCTGTCGGTACCAGCCAGTCCAGTCCAGTCCAGTCAGTCCGCTGGGGTATACCCCAGCAGTTATCTATTTCGTCCTCATTCTTCTTCACTTGCACATTTTTGGAGTACGTGCGTTGGAGTCTTGCGTGGGGAGCTACGTTGTGCCATCTCGCTCCCCCCTTCTTCCTCCATCTCCATCTCTACCACTAGCGGAGCACCACACCTGGTGGGACCACTACATTGGTATCGGAGCGGGAACGGTCCCCGCTCCCACCCACCACCCCGCAAATAGGGGAAAACAGCAAATCCCGACAGCGGGATTTTTCGTTGTTTCTCACGGAAAACAAAGGGAAAAAGGCGCAGCTGTAGGAGGGCTCCATGTGGCGAAGAAGGAAGTGACATCACGCACACAGGGGAAAACAGCAAATCCCGGCAGCGAAATTTTTCGCTGTTTCTTACGGAAAACACAGGGAAAAAGGCGCAGCAGCAGGAGGGCTCCACGTGGCAGGACGCGTGGCGCTTGCCAAGGCCGCCGCCGCATCACGCACACACACGCGCCACGTGCCCACGCTGCCCCGCTGCCCTGCCCCGCTCTCGGATATATCTATTTTCAAGATCCAGGATGCAGCTGCTGCCGCTGGGGTTTCAACCCAGGTGCCTGCCAAGCCATGCGCGTGCGTAAGCAGCCTCATAACACACTCGCCACAGAGTGTCTATGGCCTTGTAGCACG